TAGTTGGCAGTGAACTGCCATCTTAGTTGGCAGTTAATTTGCATATAGCCCTGATTAGCCAATGAAAAGGGTAGCGTCCTACGCCAATTACCATTTTTCTCTTTTATTAGTGTAGATTAGTGTAGTTTTTTTTTTTACTAAATCTTCAAAGTCCAGTGCATCGTATTGGTACAGCACACAAGTCAGACCAGCCACATTTCAGTGTGCAGTAGCTGCATGTGGCTTATGGCTATTGCGCGGGACAACAGTTCTAGATACTCATGGGTGCCACGCTTCACACTTCATAGCCGGACCCATGCTCGCTCTTTCATCCCCCTGCTGTCCACACCAAGCCTTCCCCCCGGGGGCTTCCCTGTTCTCCTGCCATCGTGGGGCTGAAGCCCCAACAAGTTGTCTCTTTCATATCTTTAGTCTTTCTCTTCAGTATCTTCTTCCCTCAGCCCAGGTCTCTAATCCTGGAAAAGTCTGTTTTACACCAATCCCCCTTTCTTCATGCTACCACTTCCAGGCAGAATTCCTTTCTCTGCATCCTATTCCTTACTGTGCACTGATCCCTCAAAGCCCTATAGCTTGACTCTCATCTCCACCCAGAGTTGCTGGTGCAGCCTTAGGCTAGGGACCATGTAGTGTCAACTGCTGGGTGCATACCTAGCTGAGCTGCACTGGCCTCATGGGAGAAGCAGATCATTTTATGCCTAATCTTCTGATTCTGACCCAGATGTTTGGAGGGGGGCTCCAGGGTCTATATTTTAACAAGTACTAGTATTTCTGAGTATAAAATAATGCTTGATCCTAGCAGAAAATCTGGCCATGTGGAAGGTAAACTATGTATATTTTCACTTACTTTGGAAAATTTCAAACATGAAAAAAAAAGGTAGAGTAATATGAGTCTCCAAGCATCTACCATCAACTTCAACATTTATTAACATCTTGCTTCTTCTATTTAAACCCCACATTGTTTTTGTCTTTTTTTTGGGAATAATGTAAAAGCAAATCCTAGTAATTGTGTAATTTCAGCCTTAAAAACTTAGGTATATATCTTTAACAGGTAAAATACATAGTTGCCTTATTTAAATCAGGATCCAAACAAAACCCACATTTGGTTGATGTATGTCTTAAGTCTCTTTTAGTCTACAACAATCTCCCTTACCTGTTCCTCCTCTCTTTCATCCCAAGTCATTTATTTTATATATATATTTTTATTGATTTTAGAGTGGGAGAGGGAGAAAGAAACATCGATTGGCTGCCTCCTGCATGCCCCCCACTGGGGATCAAGCAGTGCCCTGACCATGAATCAAGCCTGTGACTCAGGTGCACAGGACTATGCTCAACTAACGGAGCCACACCAGCAGGGTCCACGCCATTTATTAAAAAAAAAAAAACCAGGTTATTTGTCCTGTACAATTTCCCACCTTCTGGACTTTGCTGATCGCTTCCTGTGATATTACTTGTTTCTCTCTCCCCTGCTTTCTATAAACTGGTAGTTATATCTTCAGATGAAGTTTCGTTAGGATTTAACTTTTACTTTTGGGGGAGAATACTTCATTGTTGGTATTGTGTACTTATTATTGAATTCCATTACAAGGCATACAATATCTGGTAGCTCCACTTTTACTGAAGTTTTAAGAATAAGATTTATCCATGAATTCAAGTGTTGTTAAATGTTCCTATTCATTTTAAAGTTCCCTGTTAACTTTTCACTTAATGGATTTATCTTCTATTGATAATTGTGTACATCCATCATTTATTAGGAATTATAAATGGTGATTTTTATTTATTTATTTTTTAAAAAAAATATATTTTATTGATTTTTTACAGAGAGGAAAGGAGAGAGATAGAGACAGAGAGTTAGAAACATCGATCAGCTGCCTCCTGCACATCCCCCACTGGGGAAGTGCGCGCAACCCAGGTACATGCCCTTGACCGGAATCGAACCTGGAACCTTTCAGTCCGCAGGCTGACGCTCTATCCACTGAGCCAAACCGGTTTCGGCTAAATGGTGATTTTTAAAATTGTTCCTTAATATAGTTTATACAGGAAAGGCAAAATACATGATTTTTTCCTATTTGTTTACTAATTTTCAAAGTACATTTGGTGTCCTAGCTACCTCCAAAATTTTATTTCTATCATAAACTCAGGGTCTTTTTGTTTTTTATTTTTTATTTATTTTATTTTTAAAATATATTTTATTGATTTTTTACAGAGAGGAAGGGAGAGAGATAGAGAGTCAGAAACATCGATGAGAGAGAGACATCGATCGGCTGCCTCTTGCACATCTCCTACTGGGGATGTGCCCGCAACCCAGGTACATGCCCTTGACCGGAATTGAACCTGGGACCTTTCAGTCCGCAGGCCGACGCTCTATCCACTGAGCCAAACCGGTTTCGGCTTTTTGTTTTTTATTAAAAAATCTTTTTAAATTGATTTATTTTGAGAGAGATGATGGGGGTGGGGGGTAGAGAGAGAGAGTGAGAGAGAGAAAGAGAAAGAAAGAAAAAGAAAGAAACATCTGTGAGAGAGAATCATGGATCGGCTGCCTCCTGCACACCCCCCAGTGGGGATCGAGCCCGCAACCCGGGCATGAGCCCTGACCGGGAATTGAACTCGGGACCCTTGAGTTCACAGGTCGATGCTCAACCACTGAGCCATGCCGGCCAGGCGGATTTTTTATTTTTTGAAAATATTTTTTAAAATTGATTTTTAGAGAGAGAGGGACATAGATAGAAACATTGATGAGAGAGAAACATCGATCAGCTCCCTTCTGCATGCCCCCCATGAGCAGATCAAGCCCACATAAGCCCTGACCAGGATTCTAACTGGTTGCCTCTTGGTTCCTGGGTTGATGCTCAACCACTGAGCGACACCAGCTGGTGGATTTTTTATTTTTTTAATCCTCACCCGAGAATATTTTTTTTTTCCCATTGATTTTTAGAGAGAGTGGAAGCAAGGGGGAGAGACAGAAAGAAACACTGATGTGAGACACATTGATTGGTTGCCTCCTGCACACTCCTGGACCCTGGCTGAGGATTGAGCTTGCAAAGGACGTTCGTGCCCTTGACCAGAATAGAACTATGACCCTTCAGTCTGAGGGCCAATGCTCTAACCACTGGGAAACCGGCTAGGGCTAAAGGTAACTATTCTTACTGTGATTTTTTTTCCTTTGGCCTATGAATTATCTCTATGTGTATTGCTTAAATTTCCAAATATTTGAAGATTTTCCAAATATATTTCTATTATTGATTTCTAATTAACTTTCATTATAGTCAGATAATATGTTTTGTATGATTTCAGTTCTCTTTAGATTTGTTAAAGTTCGTTTTAGGATCCAGAAATCAGTCTGTCTTGATGATTATTCCAGATGCACTTGAAAAGAATGCATTTAAGTGCCACTGGGTAGAATGTTCTATAAATGGTCATTGGGTGATAGGTTTTTTATGTTCTATAAACTTACTGATTTTGAGGGATCTACTTGTTCTGTTACTGAAAGAGGAGTGCTGAGATCTCCAGCTGTAACTGTGGATTATTTCTCTTCAATTCTGTCAGTTTTTGTTTCACATATTTTGAAGCTCTATTTTAGGTGCATACATATTTAGGATTGTTATGTAATCTTGATGAATTCATGTTCATTTTTTTAATGTTCCTCTTTATCCCTGAGATTTCTTATTCTGAAGTCCTTTTATATTAATACAGGTATCTCCTGCTCTTTGAAAGTTCATGTTATGCTGCTTCGTTTTTATGAAAGACCTATATTATCTGTTTTTACCAAATGAAAGAAATCTGAAGAGGATTTTCATTTTTATGAAAACGTCAAAAAGCAAAAAGTGTGTTCACTGTTTATTTTGCAGTGTGCACTCCGAGCAGCAAGAGTGGCACCACCAACTCCCTCCCCAGGACTGACACCCAGCACCTCAGCACCAGGCACCAGAGCTTCGAGCTGTGTCTGTGAGTGTCTGCTTTATCTCGGTTTCTTTTGTGTATCCATTAGCAAGATGTGTCCCAAGGTATCAGAAAAACCTGAGAGAGCATATACATGGGTGTCATGTTTAATGTAAAACTGTACATAAGTATTTTGATTGTGGTGAATGAAATATATGTGTTGAACTTTGAGCCCACCATTTGTACTATTTACACACAGAATCTTGAAAGCTGTTGAAGTTACTGTTGGTTCTGCTAGTAGTAAAGGAGTCTCTTTAAGTTGGCATCCAGTAATGGATAAGATGGAGTCTATTGCTTGAGTGCATTGATGGGTGTTTAAAGCATGGTATGTTATCATATAATTCCTGCTTTTACTATATGTAGTGTTATTTTAAGTTTTAGATGTTATTTGGTAGGTTACTTTTGGGTCTGGGAGTGCTCAAAATTTTTTCCATATAAAATAATGGTAATTGCTTCTTCGCTTTATGCCATTTTGGCTTGTGAAGTTTCACAGGAATGCTCTACTTTCAGATATTGGGGGAAACTTGTATAGACACTTCAGCTACCTTCTGATTAGTACACACACACACACACACACACACACTCTCTCTCTCTCACACACACACACACACACACACACACACTAGAGGTCTGGTGCATGAAATTCATGCACTCATTAGGGGGGTTTCCCCAGCCTGGCCTGTGCCCTCTCACAGTGTGGGAGCCCTGTGATCAATTTCCCCAAAGAGGTAGGCCCCCGCCACCCATCCAGGGCTCCTTAATGGATTGCCCCAAAGAGGTAGGCCGGAGCTGGGGGTCCCGCCTCTGCGGCTCAGTGTGGAGCCGCCGGGACCTCCAGCCTCGCCATGTGGACGCGCCAGGACCCGGCTCTGCGTGGAGCTGTGCACGCAGCGTCAAGTCCCTGCCCACCCATGCGTGCCTCGCCACACATGCAGCCCCGCCCACCCACCTGTGCCTGCTGCGCTCGCAGGTTACTGGAGATGGGTTGTTACAGCGCGTTGGCCACATAGGCTTTTATTAGAATAGATAACATATTTTTATTGATTTCAGAGAGGAAGGGAAAGGAGAGAGAGAGAAACATCAATGATGAGAGAGAACCATTGATCGGCTGCCTCCTGCATACCTCCTACTGGGGATCCAGCCCACAACAGGCATGTGCCCTTGACTGGAATCGAACCTGGGATACTTCAGTCCACAGGCAATGCTCTATCCACTGAGCCAAACAAGTTAGGGTGGTGTTTATATATTTTTAAAAGTCATTCCCGTTGTTTTAATTTATCTGTGTGTTTAGGCTTAAAGTGGGTTTCGTATAAACAGTATACAGTGGGTCTTTAAAAAAATCTATTCTGATAGTTCTACCAGGGGCTTTTTATTTATTGTAATGACCTATATTCTTTGGTTTAAATCTGCAACATGGGTATTTGTTTTTCATTTTTCCCATCTGTTTTTGTTCACATTTTTCTCTTTTTCATGCCCACTTTTGGATTGAGTATTTTTATATGTTACCTTCACTATTAAGTTGTTAGCTACCCTCTGTTTTATTATTTACTGGTTGACCTAGGATTTACAAATACATCTTCAACATATTACTGTATGTCTTCAAATATGACACCCCTTCAGGTATACTAGACCCTTACAAAAGGCTACTTTCATTTCCCCTTTCCATTGTTGTCACATATTTTATTTTTACATAAGCTATAAGCCCACAATGTACTTTAGTCAATATGTTTAGAGAGATTAAAGAAATTAAAGTCTTATATTTACTCAGATATTTACTATTTCTGGTGCTCCTTGTTTCTTTGTGTAGATCCAGATTTTCATTGGTAGTATTTTTCTTGTGCCTGAAGAACTTCCTTACATTTCTTGTAATACAGTTCTGCTGGTGATTCATTCTTTCAGATTTTCTTTTTTAAAGCCTGTATTTCACCTTTTAATTTTATCTTTAAAATTTATTACTTACTAAATTAGCACCATTATATTTTAAATTAATTTTTATTGTAACTGGTTAACATCCTATAAATTTCAGGTGTACAATATTATGATTTATTTGTGTACCCTATTGTGTTCTCATCTCTAAAAGTTTAGTTTCTATTCATTAGCATATATTTGACCCCTTTACCCATTTTGCCCTCTTCCATCCCCTTCCTTTTTGGTGCCACCATTTTGTTGTACCTATGAGCTTGTTTTGTTAGTTGTTACTTTTTTGTTTTGTATTCTACAGATGAGTAAATCATACAATTTTTGTCCTTTTCCATCGGACTTAATTTTGCTTAACACAATACCCTCAAAATCCACCTATTCTGTTACAAATGGCAATATTTCAACTTTTTTTAATGTCATGGTAGTATTTCATTATATCTATATATTGCACATCTTATCCATTCATGCATTGATGAATGCTAATCTTGTTTATTATAAATAATGTTGCAGTGAACATAGGGGTTCATATAGCTTTTTAAATGTTTTCATATTCTTTGTATAAATATCCAGAAAAGAAATTGCTGAGTCATATGGTAGTTTAATTAAAACAATTTTTTAAAAATATTTTTATTGATTTCAGAGATGGAGAGGGAGAGATAGAAACATCAATGAGAGAGAATCATTGATTGGCTGCCTCCTGCATGCCCCCTACTGGGGATTGAGCCCACAACCCGGGCATGTGACCTTGACCAGAATCGAACCTGGGACCCTTCTATCTGCAGGCCAATGCTCTATCCACTGAGCCAAACCGGTTTTGGCTAGTATTAATTTTTAAGGAACCTCCAAACTGCTTTTCATACTGGCTGCACCAAATTACATTCTCACCAATAGTGTATGATGGTTCTCTTTTCTCTACATCCTTGATAACACTTATTTGTTGCATTAAAAAAAAAAAAAATATATATATATATTTATTCAGAGAAGGGAGAGGGAGAGAGAGCTAGAAACATCAACGATCAGAGAGAATCATTGATCGGCTGCCTCCTACACACATCACACTGGGGATCCAGCCTGCAACCTGGGTATGTGCCCTGACCGAGAATCAAACTGTAACCTCCTGGTCCATAGGTGG